GCCGGGCCCCTCGGTGACGCCCTCCTGGCCTCCCCTGCAGGCGGACGACGAGCACTACATCCCCCGGGCCGTGCTGCTGGACCTGGAGCCGCGCGTGATCCACTCCATCCTCAACTCCGCCTACGCCAAGCTCTACAACCCCGAGAACATCTACCTGTCGGAGCACGGGGGCGGAGCCGGCAACAACTGGGCCCGGGGCTTCTCCCAGGTGTCCGCACCCCTTCGCCCGGGAACGTGGCCAGACCAGAGGGACATCAGCCCGGCCAGGGGAGATCCTGAGCGAAAGGATGGTCCGGGGAGGCCGGGCGGAGCCAGCACAGGCCCTGCCGAAGCAGCATTTCTGGGTTGCAGGCCGCACCCAGGTCACTTCAGAGGCCACACAGGCCCAGGGCGTAGAGCTCAGTGCTGAAGAGCCTTCTGCCTCAGCCTCTCTTCCCCGTCTCCATACAGGGGGAGAAGATCCATGAGGACATCTTTGACATCATAGACCGAGAGGCAGACGGGAGCGACAGTCTGGAGGTGCGGTTCTCCTCTCCTGGGATATCTGGGAAGAGGCCGAAAAGGGTTGGTGGCCTGAACCTGTGATGGCGCAGGCCTGTGATCCCAGCACCCTGGGAAGCTGAGGCAGGAGGATTGCGAGTTTGAGTCCATCCTGGGCAATGATTTAGCAAGACCTTCTCTCAAAATTAAAAAAAGAAAAAGAAAAAAAAAGGCCTGAAGAGAGAGCTCAGTGCAAAGGCTCTGGGTTTAGTCCCAAGTGCTGCAAAATAGATAGGCAGGCAGGCTGTGTTGGTGCAGACCGATAATCCTATCACTCTGGGAAGCTGAGGCAGGAAAAGTGCAAGTTTGAGCCCAGTTTTGACAATGTATCAACTTAGTGAGACATTGTCTCAAAATGAAAAATAAAAGGCCTGAGGAAGTAGCTCAGCACAGAAGCCCCAGACTCAGTCCCAAGTCCCGCAAAACGTCATTCAGTGGTTAAAGCAGGACACTGAGCAGCAGCTGTGGGGTGTTCAGGTATGGAGGCCAGAACCTGGGCAGTGGTGGCTCCTCGATTGTGAGTCATTCGCCTCTACCTGACTCCACGCCATCCCATCCTGGGAGCCTCTGGCCTGGGTGGGCACAGGAAGCTTGAGACTCAGCAGGGATGGCAACCCTGAGGCCCCCGGCTCCTCGGCACTGTCTCCATGTCTGTCCCCGCACAGGGCTTCGTGCTGTGCCACTCCATTGCGGGGGGCACGGGCTCTGGCCTGGGCTCCTACCTCCTGGAGCGGCTGAATGACAGGTGAGCTGTGTGACACTGGCCCTCGGGCCTGGGTAATATCTTCCCTCGTCACTTTCTCTGGGGTGTGAAGGGCTGCCACTTCAAGCCATGGTGACACACAGCACAGAGCTTAGGAGCAGAAGCTGGAAGGAGGGGAGCAGACCGAGGGAGGGGCTTGGATGCTGACTCTCCCTGCTCCCCTCTGCCCCCATCCCTGCTGTACAGAGCTCAGGGTTCCAGGGCAGCACCATCCCCACCTTCCCACAGGAGGAGACTGGCAGGCCTGGGGGTCTGTCCAGCTCACTGCCCGCTGCTCCCTTTTCTTCTTCCTCACCCCCAGGTACCCCAAGAAGCTGGTGCAGACGTACTCGGTGTTCCCCAGCCAGGACGAGATGAGCGACGTGGTGGTGCAGCCCTACAACTCCCTGCTCACGCTCAAGCGGCTGACGCAGAACGCAGACTGCGTGGTGAGGCCCGGGCCCAGCTGTGCCTCCCGACCCCTCTTTACCACCTTCGTGCCTTTAGAAAGTCAAGTTCAACGGGACTGCATGGCACATGGCTGTAATCCTAGCACTTGGGAGGCTGAGGCAGGAAGA